CAGCTGGTAGTTTCGAACTGCTGACTCTGAGGTTAGTAGCCCAATTCATAACCACTTCACTACCAGAGCTGGGGCCATGCAAATAAGGTACACAGGACTCAAAGGCTGGATGTGGTTAGTTTTGTCCTCCAGCTAGGTTTAAAAGGAGTCAACTCAGAAGCAGAGATAGACGAACCCAGGACCATCAAGTCAGAGCATGAGTAACACATGAGATCCCCTACCTAGAGAAACGGTGACTACAGAGGCAATGGCAAAGGTGACAGAAGAGGCAATAGAAAGAAGTAGTGGCCTGGAGAAACAAAGCAACTTCGTGCTCTAGGCCTAAGGATTGAGTAAAGTTGAGTGCCTACGAGCAGGAGACCAGCTTGAAGAATGTGCCCTTTGGGCATTCACAGACTGGCTGAAAGTACTTGTAACTGTGCTTAAGCAGGGTAGAGGCCAAGGGACCATATTACTGAGAAGCTGAAGACAAGAGTGAGGCATACCTGCAGTATTGCAGACAAGAGGCAATCCTGACTGGAGAACTGCTGTGTCCTGAGGTGGTTTTGATCCTGAATTGTACCCTGTTCACTTCCCTAATAAACCCCATAATTGTCACTATTGTTATGAGTTCCGTGTGGCAATTACAATGGATGATGGGACCCAGATGTGAAGCAGAGAGTGCTGTGGGAGGAATGGTTGGTGTCAGAATAGGGTAAAGAAGGTTGTAGGGTGGAAGCATGTCTGACACTTCATAGTTAGACACAGTTCCCATATGGTCTTTGCAGTTATCCATCATCGTATAACAAAATAAACACATGACACTAGTTTACATTTTCTATAGAGGGAGAAAGGATGAGCATATTACTAAAAGGATGGTTAGCAGTAGTCAGAGATTCGCTGTGCCTGCGTCACTGAGAACCGTGTGTCAATGGCCACGATTTTCCTGTTCTTCCATAGCAATGGGATTTTGGTTGGGCAGATAACTTTCTTTACAACTACATATGGCTTTCTGATTAAATTGTTCACAGCCCGATTCGTAACTACTACACTACCAGAGCTCCTTGGGGTAATGGTAACTTGATATAATTTAGCGGAGTTACACAGGTATACGCATTTATTAAAACAGAAAATGTACACACTTAAGATCTGTAAAGTTTATGGTACAAAAATCTCACCCAGAAAGAAATAGCAGTAAATATTATAGTTAGTGATATGCATATGCTAAAGTATTTAAGGGTATGGAGATGTGTAATTTAACTTTTAAATGCACCAAAAATATGATGAAATGATGGATGGATAGAGTAATAGATAACACATCATTGTTAAGGTATTTAGCTCACTAATTGTTGTTGTTGTAGTTGTTAAGTACTGTCAAGTCTGTTCCAACCCATAGCAACACTGTATAGGGTTTTTGAAGAGCGGCTGGTGAGCTTAAACTGCAAACCAACTTGCAGTCCAGTGCATTAACCCATAGCACCGCAACAGGACACTATAACAGCTAGATTCTAAATGATGTTCACTATAAAATTATTTCAACAGTGTATGTGTAAAAATTTTTAAATACTTACTTAATTAATATTTTATTTTTTAGAGAACTTTTGTTTGTTGTTGTTAAGTCAAGTTGGTTCCAACTCACAACACTCCTAAACACAACTGAACAAAACATTGCCCAGTTCTGCGCCATTCTCATAAATGTTATGTTTGGACCCAATGTTGCCCCCATTCATATAGTATCAACTCAAATCACTGAAGGTCTTCCTTTTTCTCACTGACCCTCTACCAGAGACTGGTCTCTCCAATCTTTTGGACAATTCCAAAGTACAAGAGATAAATTCTTGCCATCTTCACTTCTAAGGACCACTCCACTGGCTGTTCATACTTTCAATATTCTTAATTCAAATTAAATATTCATAATTCAAATGTATCAATTTTCTACAGCCTTCCTTACTCAAGGCCCAACTTTCACATGCCTATGAGAGGACTGAAAATATCATGGCTTGAGTCAGGTGCACCCTAGTCCTCAAAGTGACATCTTTACTCTTTTAACACTTTAAAGCAGTCTTTTGCAGCAGATTTGCCCAATGCAATACGTCTTTTGATATCTTAACTGCTGCTTCCACGAGCATTGTTACTGGATCCAAGCAAAATGAATGAAGTCTTTGACAACTTCAATTTTTCACTGTTTATCATGATGTTATATATTGGTCCAATTGTGAGGCTTTTCATTGTATTTACATTGAGGTGCAATCCCTACTGAAAGCTATAGTCTCTGATCTTCACAGTAAGTATTTCAAGTCCTTTCACTGTCAGCAAGCAAGGTGGTATCACTGGCATACTGCAGTTGTTAATGGGTCTTCCTACAATCCTGATCCTACACTCTTCTTCATATGATCCGGCTTCTCAGATTATAAGCTCTGCATACAGACTGAGTAAGTATGGTGAAGGGTTACAACCCTTTCTGATTGTAATCCTTTCACCTGGAACAAACCGTTACTGATTTTAAACCAGTCAGTATTCCCCTGTTCCATTTGAACAACTGCCTCATGGTCTATGCACAAGTTCCTCATGAGCACAAATAAGTGCTCTGGAATATCAATTTCTTGCAATGCTATCCATAATTTATTATGACCCACACAGTCGAGTGTCTTTGCATCGTCCATAAAGTGCAGGTAAAACATCTTTCTAGTATTCTCTGCTTTCAATCAAGATCCATCTGGTGTCAGCAATGATATCCTTTGTTTCATGTCCTCTTCTGAATAGGACTAAATATCAGGCAGCATCCTGTTACAATCATTTTTGAAGCATCTTTAACAAAATTTTACTTGCATATGATATTACTGATATTGTTCAATGATTTCCCTATTCTGCTGTGACATCTTTCTTTGGAGTAGACATCTCTTCCAATTGACTGGCCAGGTGTTGTTGTTGTTGTTAAGTGCTGTCGAGTCAGTTCTGACCCATAGCGACCCTGTATAAGGTTTCCGAGGAGCAGCTGGTGAGCTTGAACTGCCAACCTTGCAGTTCAAACGGCTTTGCAGTCTGGCGCATTAACCCATAGCACCACAAAATTATCTAGCCAGAGATGAATGAGTGCCTCTAGCACTACGCCAGTTTGTTAAAACATTTCCATTTTTATTTCTTCAATTCAGTTTGGACTTCTTCCTTCAATATTATTAGTTATTGATCACGTGGTATCTCTCTTTTTGGTACAGTAATACTGTATATTCCCACCATCTTTTTTTGATGCTTCCTGCATCATTTTTGTCCATAGACTAGTTTAATATTGCCAAGTCTAGTATTGAATTTTTTCTTCAGTTCAGCTTGAGAAATGCTGAGAGCATGTTCTTCCTTTTTGGTTTTCAGCACTTTCAGGACTACAGAATTGAGCAGAAAGTAGCTCCTCTTCCCCCACATACGTAGTTTCCCCTTTTTTTCAATATATGGCACAGTATGGTGCCTTCGTTATAACCGACAAATCAATATTGATACATTATTATTAACTGACATCCACAGTTTATACTAAAGTTCACTCTGTGTTATGGGTTTTGAAAAATGCATGTCATATATTCATTATGTTATTGTTGTTGTTGTTAAGTGCCATCGATTCGATTCAGACCCATAGTGACCCTGTATAGGGTTTCTAAGGAGCAGCTGGTGAGCTTGAACCACCAACCTTGCAGTTCAAATGACTTTGCAGTCTGATGCATTAGCCCACAGTGCCACACCAGGACTCCATTATAGTGCCATACAAATAGTTTAATTGTCCTACAAATCCCATGCTCCATCCATTCATTCCTCCCTCCTCAAGCCTCCAGCAACCACTGATATACAGTTTTCCCTTTCCCAAGATATCATATAGTTGGAATTGCACACTAGTTAGCATTTTAGACTTGCTCCTTTCACTTAGTTATGTGCATTTAAGGTTCTATCATGTCTTTTCACGGCTTGATAGCTCATTTCTTTTCATTACTAGATAATATTCCATTATATGCAGGTACTACAGTTTGCTTATCCATCCACTTTTTGAAATCTCTGGTTACTTGCAATCTGGGGTAGTTATTTTTCAACTAATCTGAGTTAAATATTAAAGAGCATGATTGCTGGATCACATGGTAACTTTGTAAGAAATTGCCAGAACTGTCTTCCAATGTGGCTATCCCATCTGTATCCCACTAGCAATGAATGACGATTCCTGCTGTTCTACCCACATCATCTCCAAATGTGATGTTGCCAGTGTTTTGGATTTCAGCCACTCTAATAGGTGTATAATGCTATCTCATTCCTGTTTTAATTCTTAATTTCCTAAAGTCTTAAGATATTGAACATCTTTTCATTTGCTTGTCATATGTACACCTGTTCAGATCTTCTGCCTTGGATTGTTTTCTTACTGTAGTGTTTTCTTAGTATATTTTGGACTGTTTTTAGGTACCGTTAACTCAGTTCCAACTCAGCATCCTGTGTAGGATTTCCAAGGATCAGCTAAAGGATTTGACCACTGACCTACTGGTTAGTAGTCCAGTACTTACCGGTACTCCACATTTTGGATACAAGTTCTTTATCAGATATGTGTTTTGGAAAGATTTTCTCCCTGTCTATGGCTTGTCTTTTCATTTTCTTAATAATATTTTTCATAATGAACTGTTCTCCCTGCCCCCTCCAAAAGTGACTACAGGGCTTCATTGTGGCAGAATTCTCTTACATGACCTCTCTCCAAAACTAATGTCATTTGACCAAAAGGAAAAGCCTAATTAAACCAAATCATTCAATTTGGCAAACAGAACTAATTAAAGTGTTTTTCATTTGGAGGGTGGTCACACATTTCTGTTTTCCTGGGACAGTCCTAGTTTATTCCTATTGTTCAATATTCCATTCAATTACCCTAAATTGGATCTACAGTATCCCAATATAGAGAAGGTATCATCAGATGGTCACACTACCCCGATTCTCCAATTTTCTGAGAATTTTTGGCTTATACTCAAAAAATGGCATTTCTCCCTCTTTTATACTCCGTTTTGCATGACCCAAATATAATTAGGAATTATTCTTATGAAATATTTATAGCTTATATAATATTCTGATAGCTATTTTTCTTATTAATAAAATTATGAAACTGGAGTACTCACGGGTAGCCAAGGAAAAGGAGATTGAGGACTGAATGGCTTCGGAAGAGATTGACAAGGGTCCAACAAAGTACCCATCCACACAAAGTGAGTAGCACCAAGCGAGCTGATATCAGAACCATGTAGTGAACCATTGATGCTGCGCCTGCCTTAGTGGCCTGAAAGTTCAGAATCATTAAAAGAAACATTTTATGAATGATCTTATTCAAAAGCAATGTGACTCAAGTAAGTATAATATAAGCTGTTGTTATTGTTGTAAGTGCCATCAAGTTGGCTCCAACTCATAAGTGACCCTGTCTGTATAGGGTTTCAAGGAGTGATTGGTGAGCTTGAACCACTGACCTTGCTGTTCAAACCAATCTTGCAGTCCAGCACATTAACTCACAACATAACACCAGGACTCCATAATATAACTTAAACTATGCTAAAAGAAATAAAGAATGAGAAAAGTAAGGAAAGAATCCCATTCTACCTTACCTTCTTCATTCTTGAAGACTGGACCTTTCCCAGGCACAGTTAGTGGTCCCCACTGGGTACTCTCATAGTGCCCCACACAGACCTCTTTTAACTTTTAACTTGCTGGATTATTTATTTACACTGGGGCTTCTCAAAGTCCAAGAACCATATTCATCAAAATTAGCTGGGCTGCTAAATGAATATACTAATTCCAACATCCTTCCTCATATATACCCACTGCTGTCGAGTAGAATGACTTAGAGCAAACCCAAAGGGCAGAGTAAAACTGCTCCCTGGGTTTCCATTAGTTACCCAACACTTAACACACTGTACCACCAGGGCTCGTTTCTTCATATATACCCCACTCACTGTCATTGAGTCAGTATGAACTCATAATGACCCTAAAGGACAGGGTACAACTGTTTCACAATGTTTCTGAAACTGCAATCTTTACGAGGACAGCCTAGGAGTGGCTGGTGGGTTTGAACAGAAACTTGATGGCTAGCAGCCTGATACGTAAGCCACCATGCCTCCTTTTCTTATATATAAACTTGAAATCAAACTCACTGCCATCAAGTTGAATCCAACTCATAGTGACTCTGTAAAGGTTTCCAAGACTGTAAATCTTTATGAGAGCAGACAACTTTATCTTTCTCCCAAAGAAGGGTAGGTTTGAATTGCTGACCCTGCGGTTAGCATTCCACTGAAATCTGTATTTTAATAACCCACAAGGAAATTTTTATTTATATAAATATGGAGAGCCCAAAGGATCAAGCTCATTGACCACTCTTATCTGTCTTCCTTCCTACTAGCCTCCAATGCCTTCAATAGCAGCAACAGTTTCAATATTTTCTTTAATCCTCAACGTAATTTCTTTGCTGACTTCATGTTAAAAAAATTACTGAAACTACAATACACAATCAGATATTCTTTCAAAGATCCCTAAATAAATCATATATCCCTACAAAATGGAATGAGTGCATAACCACTTCCAATTCTCTATATCATCCTCCCAGTGCCAAGCAGTCAATTCTGACTCATCGCACCCCTATGAAGGGTTTCTGAGACTACTGGAGCAGACAGTTTCATCTTTCTCCCTGGGAATGGTCGACGAGTTTGGGCATACAACCTTGAAGCTGACAATGCCATCGGGGCTCCTTATTTCTACCACAGATGTTCAAATATTCTTAATCTCAAAGCTTTAAAACTAACCATATAACAAAAAAAGAAGAAAGGTGACGCTTTCTGCTCCCGTAAAGATTACAATCTCAGAAACCCTATACAAAGGCCACCATGAGTCAGTACCAACTCAACAGCACAAAACCACAACAATATATAGTAAGAAAACACACCTAACTAAACATGAAGCTATCCAATGCCACTTTCTTTCCCAATGAACTAAGGAAAGAATGAGCAAAATGTAGAGGAAAACAGGGGATTCCTATAACCTTTGAAACAGCAGTGTGTCAGAACCCGGAAAGAAGAAAAAAATATCCTTGTCAGTACTACATGGGAGAGGATAAGAGGCTTGTCGGTTCCCCTTATATATCCACTACTTAGTTTACAGGTCATACAACTTAATATATATACTAATATATATATACCCATTCCTCGTTTATTGACATGATTAGGTTCCAAAGACCAGGTCCTTGTGTAACAATCACATTATGCAAAAAAAAAAATAAAAATAATAAAAAAAACCCAAAATGACCACACCTGATCACAAAATGGATAATTACACCTTTATATAAATGCCAAAGTATGTCATTACATAATTGCCAAACCACTCAGCAAAATTTGACGTGAAACCTTAACCATTATTATTATTATTCTCAGAACAGTGTTCATTATTACTAGATATATGTTATTCATACACACACTAGTTGGATAATAGGTATTAGATGCAGTACGTCAGGTTAATGGGATAGTCAATAAGTGAGGAATTATCAACTGTGTATGTTGTTAACTGCTGTCTAGTCAGTTCCAACTCATAGTGACCCTATATAGGGTTTCCAAGGAGTGACTAGTGGGTTTGAACCACCAACCTTGCAGTCCAGGACACTATCTTGCAGTGCCACACCAGAACAAGTAT